TTGCTCCAAGTCATGCTGTTCCTCCTGACACACACACACACAGACAGACACACAGACAGACAGACAGACAGACAGACAGACACAGACAGACAGACAGACAGACACGCGCGCCAAAGAAGAAGGGAAGCTCAGAGAAACACGGAAACACAGGATGAAGGAGGCCGTGAGGATGAAGAGTTATTGAGAAAGTTAGACAGACAGAAGCAGACGAGTGTTTTCCTCCTGATCTCCTCACCTGGTTGTCTGACAGCGCCCCCTCCTGGAAGGATGGAGTAACGGCAGGTGAACTGGCGCTGGATCCACTCCTCCTCGCCTCCTTCTCAGCGTCTCTCTTGTGTTGTCTCTTACTCTGTCTCTTGTCTCCTCTCTTTGGCTGCCACTCTTCTTCCTTCTCTTCCAAACACTCGACCCCCGTCTCTAACCTCATCTCCTCCCTCTCTGAAGGACTCTTTATTAGTCTCTCCTCCGGCCCGTTCCCTTGTTCCACCGTCTCTCTTTCTTCCTCTCTTTCTTCACTCAGTCTGTCACTTCCTCTCTGTCTCTCGGTGTCTATCGTCCTCTTCGTGCTCTCCTCCTCTTCCTCCGACGAGCTGCAGTCTTTGCTGTTTGCTCTGCTGACCAGCTGGCTGAGTCTGGCCCTCAGCTCCTCCTCCAGAGAGTCTGCAGGCGGGGGTCCCGGGGCCACAGATTGGCGCTGTGGAGGGCTGGGGGCCGCTGAATTTGGAGCCGCCGTGTCCAAGTCCTCTGGCTCAGGGGTCATGGCGTCTGATTTGAAGGCGTCTGGTGCAGCTGATGGCACAGGGTCGGGAACTGCCTGCTCCTCACTGAGGCCCCGCTTCAGGAGAGCGTTGAGGAGGAAACCACTGTTCTCCTTCAGGGGGGGGGACGGGGGGGACGACGACAAAGAGACATACATACATCATCAACAAGTAATACATCATGCTCATTATTTAACAAAGAGTGCAAACGACTCAATGACTTCTACAAACAGGACTACGCACAGCTTCTTCTTCCCTTCAGACTGCTGACAATGAGCCCCACGCTGTCCCATACTGCCTCGTTGTTGTTGTTGTTGTTGTTGTGTGCTGTATTCACTGTATTTATTATTATCTGTGTATTTATTCTTATTTATACATTTCCCATCTATTTACCTTTATTTTCGTATCATTTATTTTGTACATACTACTGATAAATTGTGTGCTGACTGTTTTGCACTCTGGTTAGACCCTCCTTCATTTCGTTACACTGTGCTTGCATTTTGTAATGACAATAAAGTAATCTAATCTAATCAGATGGCCTGAACGGCGTTATCACTATTTCACACTTCACTTCTCAATGGCATAGCGGGAAATGATCAGATTGAAAAGGCTTTATTGTCATATGCACAATAGTTACAATGAAAATCTGAAGTTCCAGGCTTCTTCAGTGCAACCAACAACATACTTACAACATTAAAAGAGTGCAAGAATAAATAGAAATAGGATAGTGCACGAGAATGGTGCAATGGAAACAATGGTGCAAGTAAAATGCAGAAATTAGTTAATTATATACAAATAGAGTAATATAAGACAAATAAACAATGTACAATTAAATGTGATACTTTACAATAGCCCAAACATTCAGTATAGATCAAAGCATGTTTTTGCCTTAACTGTTTTGTCTTAGGAATCTGTCAGGAAAGCCTGTGAGAGCAGATGTGATGTACCTGATGGACTGAGAGTGAGTGTGGGTGTGATGTACCTGATGGACTGAGAGTGAGTGCAGGGTTGATGTACCTGATGGACGGAGGAGAGTGAGTGCAGGTGTGATGTACCTGATGGACGGAGAGTGAGTGCAGGTGTGATGTACCTGATGATGGACTGAGAGTGAGTGCAGGTGTGATGTACCTGATGGACTGAGAGTGAGTGCAGGTGTGATGTACCTGATGGACGGAGAGTGAGTGCAGGTGTGATGTACCTGTAGATGGACTGAAAGTGAGTGCAGATGTGATGTACCTGTAGATGGACTGAGAGTGAGTGCAGGTGTGATGTACCTGGTGGACTGAGAGTG